GTTATGAAATTAAAATAAGAAAGATCTCATTATATCATATAGTGGTCTAATGTGTAAGTAAATAAACAGTCTTATTGGGCTTTTTGTGAGATAGTCCCATTATGTTTCTGTGATGGCCAATCATGGTTGTCAACCAGATACACCTGAGGAGAGGAAACCTCAACTGAGGAGCTGCCTCCATGAAAATGGCCTGCAAACAAATCTGTGGTCACTTTCTTGATTGAAAACTGATGCACAGGGGTCCAGCCTGCTGTGGGAGGTTCCATCTGTAGGCAGGCAGGCCTGGGCTGTACCAGAAACGTCGAACACAAGCCTGGGAGCAAGCCAGTGAGCAGCACTCTCTCTCTTGTGGTCTCTGCCTCCCAGCTTCTGCTTTGGTTTGCCTCAGTGACAGACTGCACCACGGGAGCCAAGCAAGCGCTCTCCTCCCTAAGCTGCTCTCCATCGAGGTGTTTACCTCCCCAGCGGGAAGGAAACCCCAAGAGGAGCCTGGCTCTTGCCATCCAAAGTGCTGCTCTCAAACACACAGAAATGCTCCTGCCTCAGCCTCCCAGGGGCTGGGATTTCCTTCCTCTCTTGATTACTATTTTTTCCTTGAGATGGGTTTCTCCTGGTGCCCTAAAGTGGCCACGGACTCTTAGTGGTCTTCCTGCCTTTGCCTACTGAGTGCCGAGGTTACATGTGAGCTGTCATAGCTCATTTCCCTTATTTTATTCCTTTATGTGTGTAGGAGTGTGCTAGAAATGGCTTGTAGCAATAGTAAATTTGCAGAATTTTGTGAGGCAGTTGTTAAATGCAACCAAAATGAAAATTTAAACATACACAAAGATCAATTCTATTCAAGAGAAAGGGACACATAGTCAAATGTTCGCCAGTACTTACTTTACATTACCTCTGTGTGAGTTCACAGATGTGTACTGAATTAGACGATGTATGTGGTGGTTCAAAAGAAAATGGCCCCAAAGGGTGTGGCACCCTTAGGAAGTGTGGCCTCATTAGAGTAGGTGTCATCTTGTTGGAGGAAGTGTGTCACTGTGGAGGTGGGCTTTGAGGTCTCATATATGCTCAAACCATGCCCAATGAGATCAGACCACTTTCTTTTTTTTTTTTTTTTAAACTTTTTTGGAATTTTATTTCATCTGAATCTATCCTGTTGTGAATCTATAATGCTTCTCTGACCAAGAGATTTTTTTTTTTTTTTGTGATATATATTTTTTATTTTACAATACCATTCAGTTCTACATATCAGCCATGGGTTCCCCTATTCTCCCCCCTCCCACGCCCTCCCCTTACCCCCAGCCCACCCTCCATTCCCACCTCCTCCAGGACAAGTCCTCCCCCGAGGA